GGAAAAGATGGCATTGGTTTCCCTCAGTTGAGTTTCTGGGTCCTTCCCTGTTTAGTATCCTGCAGTATCTATTTGGTGGTATGCTATCGTGGATAATAAATTCTTTGAATATATTCTGGTGATGCCTATAGTATAAGTATACTTGAAATATAAAAAATCTTGATATAGTATTGGATTCTCAGGTAAGATTACAAAGTAGTTTTATGTGAATTATCGGATCATGTTATTTGAGCATTTGCAGAATATAGGTGTGTGTGTGTGTGTGTGTGTGTGTGTGTGTGTGTGAAGATGAGGCCTAATACAAGAAGAAAGGTGGAATGAAATAAGTATTTGAAATGAGATTTGTGTGTGTTTGTACCTTAAACTACATTCGAAAATTATGAGCTTCTTGAAGCAATACAATTTCATAGTACGAATTGTCCTCGAAACACGAAACTCATCAGTCTTGGGAGGTAATAGAGGTTGTATTCGTAAGTGAAAGAAAGCAACATAAATATGTCCTAATTTTGTGTATAGTAATCAGAGTAATTATAATTGTAAAGGAATTGTGAAGGATTCCTTGTCTCATATCACATAGAATTGATTATAAAGAATTTATTTGATTTATTTTACTATTTAATTTCACTGAGTTTGTAACGTGTTGGCCATAGTGATGCTAGAGTTATAAGAACGCGCTATATATATGTATTATATCACCCATGTGATACGCCGTAAATTACCAAGTTTTCGACTATTTTTGTTTTGTGAAGATTTAGGCTGGTCATACTGTAGTTCATCTATAAATAGTGTTACTAATGAACTGTTCAGATGTTTGAGCATATGTTAATGGCAAAGTTGTGTCTTATATGTGATATATAACTTGAAATTATGTGATATAAGTACGTGCCATTCCTACCGTATTCTGATATTTTTACGAAGCTCTATCTCGGTTATTTACCAAAGAATTATGTGTCTCCACAACCACCACTATCACGTCACCACAACCACCACTATCACGTCACCACAACCACCACTATCACGTCAACAACCCAACCACTATCACGTCACCACAACCACCATTATCACCACCACCAACACAACCAACAACTACCACAACCACAAACCTATTCGGAAAGTAACCCAACCAGCTTTTTTTTTATCTGTTGGAAACTCAGCAGAAGAGTGGTATGGTAGTACCCTCCTATCCTTGACCAGGCATTCACCACTCGGTTACTCCTCAGTAGCAGTATATAAGAGGGCCTCCGTGTGGTGAGGCTGGAGCGTAGATAGTCGCTCCCTATCTTTCTAGGTCGTTGAGGTGTGTCTTTCTGTGTCTGTGTCTTCTCCCTGGTTCGTTGTGGTGTGGGTGGTGCTTGGGTTAGTGGTGGGTAAGGTGTCATTGTTATAAAGATAGTAATGATAGTGCTTGTATTGCAGCGTAGTGCTACTAAAGGTGATAATAATGATTATAATGGTAATGATAATGATATTGTTGGTAATTAAGATAATAATAATGATTATTATAACCATACTACTACTATTTCTGCTACGGCTACTACCAGCCGTTAGATCCGGGTGCCTTGCTGCCCGCACGTGGCCCAAATCTGGGCATAGGCTTACTTAAGCGACAACTCTCCCGCATGTGTGGCCCATAGACCCGACCCACACCAACACTCTTGTGCTGTGTCCAGACTCCTTGCCTCCCCTCTGCAATGCTATTATCTTTTTTTATGCTCAAGAGTTTTGACATTTGATAAGCTGTATCAGGATGACAATAGACAGGTTTTCTCTCTAGACAGTCTACTAGTGTGCAATAACAATAGCAACTACCATTTTTGTAATTTATCTCATTTTTGTCATATATTTTTTCAATTTTCTGTATTAAACCTTGCGTCGCCAGTCTGGAATAAGGATCCTGAGCACGGAAATAGCGTCCTCCCTGGAACCGACGCTCTTCCAGTCATCATGGCTCAACGAGGGTACAGTCCACCCTCGTTTACCGGTGGAAATCATGCAAGAGACCCTTCCTAAATGCCTCCTGGACCTAATCTTCCTCCAAGGGCTCTGTGGTTCCATGACGAGGTATTCCCGACACCTCAGCCAAATATTTCCATGATATGAAGGCCACATCACCAGGGTCCGTGGGTTACTACTACCACTACTGGTAGTTGTGCTGCTGCTGGTGATGGTACTGCTTCTGTCGTTTCGCCACTGCTTTTGTCATTGTGGTTGTTCTTATCATTATCATTAAGATACATAATAGATAGTGATGACAGTAAGGAAAGAGACAAGATAAGAAGCAGTAGTGATGATGGCAATCTTAAAAGTTGCAAGACAAAAGTAGCACAACGGTAGTCATAGGTTAACCATTTATTACACGGGTATTTTCTACGACTTGGAAGGCTCTAAAATAGACAAAAGAACGAGAAAAAAAGCCCAGAAATAGAATAAAATGGACAATTCAGCATTATTATTATTATTATTATTATTATTATTATTATTATTATTTTAGAGTCCAGCTGTTAACTCAAGGACCACTCAAAAAATGATAAAATACACAGATAGGGATAGAAATAGCAACGTATATTCTGCCATACCATTCTGAAAGGCCATTGAAGTTAGCAGTGTCGTCTGGTCACGTGTCAACAGGACTCTGAGAGGATACATACTCAAGGTATTTTGTAGGATCTCGGGTGAAGGGGGGGGGTGGGGGGGTGGGGAGGGCTGGCAAGAAAATGCCCAAGTGGTTGAAATTTGGTTGTTATTGTTATTTTGTAGTGGTGTTATTGATCATGCTGATACTGTTGTTGTCATTATTATTGTTGCTGTAGGTACTGTTGTTATTGTTTCTGATATAGTGTTGTTATAATTGTTGTTTTTGATAGTGTATTTGATACTGTGTTATTGGCGTTGTTGATTCTGTAATCTATTAGTGTTGTTGATAGTTGTTCTTACTGTTATTGTTCTTGCTTGATACTCCAGTGGTTTTGTTATGGTTATTGTCTCTTATTTGTTCTGCTGTGTCATTGTTCATTTCACAGATTTTATTAATGTTTGATTATTATGTTTTTCGTTAAATGTTTTAATGTTAATCGTGCGTTTTTTCCATGTTATATACACTTTTTCAATCCTGCAGGTACGGTTTATTGTGTGTGTGCGTGTGTGTGGCTATGTTTATGCGTGTGTGTGTGTGTGCGTGTGTTTATGTGTATGTTCGCGTGCGTGCGTGCTCACGTTTGTGCGTTTGTTCACACTGCATACCATATCTCATCACACAAAACGATAACAATCTGATATCTCACCCTTGATATTACATAAAAACAAGATTCAGATGCTCTCATAAAGCACAAAAAAGTATTTCCAACCTACCACAATTCACCAACATGCCACCCCTTTCCTCTCGCCAAAACACGCATGACCCAGCCGACGGTATAGGCCTACTAAACTATAATATATATATATATATATATATATATATATATATATATATATATATATATATATATGTATATGTATATATGTATATGTATATATGTATAAACTGACTTTCACCCAAGCAAAACCGGTGCCTTATCAACTGCTTGAGGAGATGATTGAATATTATGAAAACTGAAGGTCGTTGCCTTTGGAGAGGTTGGCGAGTGTGGGTCTGAGGTCGTGCTGTCTGCAGATGCGCTTGTGTGTCTGTGTTTTTATTTGATGTGTCCGTTTATGTGTGTGGTTATTTCTTTATTCAAGTGTGTATATGCATATATATATATGTATACACATACACACACACACACACACACACACACACACACACACGTATATATATACACACACATACATATATATACATATATATATATATATATATATATACATATATATATACATATATATATATATATATATATATATATATATATATATATATATATATATATATATATATATATATATATATATATTATATATATATATATATATATATATATATATATATATATATATATATATATATGTATATATATATATATATATATATATAACATATATACACATATATACATATATATATATATATATATATAGGCATTATATATATATATTATATATATACACACAGACACAGACACACCCACACATATATAGATAAAGACATAAAAAACGGCCTTGGCCACCAAAGGACCATAAAAAAGCATAAAAATAAAATGCATAATCTTATCGCCGTATCAGTCAATAAAATTAAGTCATTCTTACTCGAGCGTGAAAATTCGACCAGTCAGCTGATCGCTTAACCTCAGCTGCGCAAGTCACTCCTCTTTTGTTTTGCCAAAATCTGTAAGTGTGATTTGTTGTTTTGTGTGTATAGTGGTGTGTGTGCGTGCGTGTGTGTGTGTGTGTGTGTGTGTGTGTGTGTGTGTGTGTGTGTGTGTGTGTGTGTGTGTGTGTGTGTGTTGTGTGTGTGTGTGTGCATTAAGAAAATTGTTTTCCGTGAGTGTGTACATTTTTAGTGAGATTGTCATTGTATGTTAGGATGATGGATATGTGCTTGTATTTTATATATGCGTACACACGTGCACACACACACACACATGCACACACACACACACACACACACACACACACACACACACACACACACACACACACACACACACACACACACAGATAGATGCATGTATATGTATATATTCTTTTTTTTACACATATACATTCCTACTTTCATGCATACATAGATATTTCTAGTGGCATAGTATCACACAGTAAAAATGTGTGTGTGTGTGTGTGTGTGTGTGTGTGTGTGTGTGTGTGTGTGTGTGTGTGTGTGTGTGTGTGTGTGTGTGTGTGTGTGTGTGTGTGTGTGTGCGTGCCTTTGTACATGCATGCGTTTGTGTGTATGTGTATGTATGAGCATCTATGTCTTTGTATGCATGTATGTGTTCGTAGATAAATGGACGAGCGTGTGTGCGCATTCCATAAACGTCATTTGACCCCCATGAAAAAAACAGCTGATGATGACGTCATTGTTTCAGGTTAGCGCCGGCCTCCTCGCTTCGCCATGAAAATTGCCAAGAAGCTCCTGCCTCTCAAAGCCCATTATTTCTTCTTCTTGGGATGTAAGTTAATGGCCATTTTTTTTGTTTTGTTTGTTTTTAGTTTTATTCTTGTTTTTGTTTATCTTTTTTCTCTGTTTTTTGTTGTTGTTTTTTTTCATTTTTGTCTGCTCTCAGTTCGTCAATCTCCTTTCTGACTTTCTCCCTCCCTCCCTTTCTCTCTCTCTTCTTCTCTTTCTTCCTCCCTTCTCCGTCTCTCCTTCAGTCCCTCCCTCACTCACTCCCTTTCTTCTTTCTCTCCCTCTCTCTCTCCTCCCTCCCTCCCTCCCTCCCTTTCTTCTTTCTCTCTTTCCTTCCCCTCCCTCCTTCCCTCTATCTAACTCTCCCCTCCCTCTCTCCTTCCCTCCCCTCTCCTCCCTCCCCTCTCCTTCCCTCCTCCCTCCTTCCCTCTCTTCCTCTCTCCTCCCTCCCTCTCTCTATCCTTCCCCTCCCTCTCTCTTCCCTCCCTCTCTCCCTCCCTTTCCTCCCTCCCTCTCTCCCCTCCCTCCCTCCCTCTATCTCTCCCTCCTCCCTCCCTCCCTCCCTCCGTCTCTCCCTCCCTCCCTCTCCTTCCCTTTTCACATTATTTTATTCTTCCAACCATTCCCTCTGACATTTTTTTTCTCCCACATTCTTTTTAATTACTCTTTCATCACGTTTGTCACTGTCTCCTTCGTAATCATCAGCGTCATCTGCTTAAATCTTTTTTTTTTTTTTTTTTTTATTAACTCTCTAAAATCACCATCAAACAACATTTTTTTTAAGTTCCTAATTACCTCTCAACTTTTTCTTCTTTTTTTCTCTTTCTCTTTTATGTCCATTTTCGTGTGTGTTTTTTTTTTTTCATTTTGGTTCGTTTTAGCTTTGTTTTTTCCTTCCTTTTTTTGTTCTTCTGTTTAAAATGTTAAATTACTTCGTCCTCCTCCTCCCTCCCTCCCTCCCTCCTCCCTCCCTCCGTGGCCTTCCTTCCGTCCTCCTACCTCTCTCCCTCCCTTCACTTCCTCTCCTCCTGCCCTTCCTCCTTCCCTCCTTCCCTTCCTCCCTGCCTCTCTCCCTCCCTCCTACTCTGCTTCTCTCCCTCCCTTCAATAACTATCATCCTTCCCTTCCTCTTCTCCTTTCTTTCCTCCCTCTCTTCAGTCCTTCCCTCCCTTCCTCCCTCCTTCCCTCCCTCTCCCTGCCTCCTCCCTCTCCTTTACTCCCTCTCCTCCTTCCTTTCTCTCTCCTTCCTCCCTCCCTCCCTCCCTCCCTCCCTCCCTGCTACCTTATAGCTAATTACGTTCTATATCATTACATTCAGCTTTATTACCCTCATTAACTCCCTCTGTTTATTCGTTGTACCTGTTATCATTAATTTCTGTAATTACCCGTTTTCTTGTTCACTGACTTTATCAACATTTCCAATAACAGCCATTTTAACGTTAATTTCATTAGTTATGCCAACATTATGATCATTTTCCAGGTAAATACAATCTTCAGAATCCATATTAATATTACCTTTATCTGGATTGACGTTATAATCTATTGCAGATGGTTTGTAATACTTTTATTATCAATATTTATATTATCTTCACCTAAAATTACCATTACGTTAATCGTAGATATGAATATTACCTCCATTATCTTCTTTTTCGATAATTAATATTGTTTTTTATTGCAAACGTTAATATTACCTTCGTTTTCCATATTAATATCATCTTTATCGTCCAAATTAACGTAGCAAATATTATAGAGTTTAACATGACCTTAATGAACAGCATCATCATCATCAAAATTAGCATTGCAAGTATTAGAGAGATTAGCATTACAATTAATAATAATGTTATTAGTATTAGAGAGATTAACATTACCATTAACAATAACAGAATTAGTATTATAGAGATTAACATTACCATTAACATTAACATTACAGGTATTATAGAGATTACCATTACCATTAACAATAATATTAAAAGTATTATAGAGATTTAACATTACCATTAACAATAATATTTAAGTATTATAGAGATTTAACATTACCATTAGCAATAACATTACAAGATAGAGATTAACATTACCATTAAGAATAACATTGCGTTCATCATCATCATGCGACCCCCCCCCCATCGCCCCCATGAACCGCCCCATCGACCGTGTCCTCTCCTTCAGGCATGTCCCCCGTCCTTCCCTTCCTGATGGTGGTGGCGCTGCAGCTGGGCGTCCCCGTGTCGGTGCAGGGGACCATCTACGCCACGTCCCTCCTCCTGACGGTGCTGGGGAAGCCCCTCATCGCCGCCCTGGCCGACTGCTTCCCCAACTTCAGGAAGGCCATCTTCTTGGTCGTCATCACCATCATGGTGGTCTCCTACAGCTGCGTCAGGTTCATCCCCCCCATGAGAGATCCGCCGGTTTTGAGAGGGAGGTTCGTCCTCGCTCCCGCCGGGCAGGTTGGGAATCCTTCAGCGTCTCCTCCTCCTCCTCCTCCTTCTGTGTCTCCTTCGTCGCTGGTACTGACGTCGGGAGGCGAGGTCGAGTCGGGTCAGGAGGTCGTCGGGGAAGCAAAGCCAATGCTTGTGACTCAGGACGATGGTAAGTAAACAGAGTAAAGTTTTATCTATTAATGCTTGAGAATTCATATTTTCCGAGTCATTTTTATTTCTTATTTTTCACAATTCTCAAGTGCAATTTAAGGTTTTATTTAGTATTTCGAGTCGAGATCAAACGAAAAAAATAAATTTCTCTTTGAATATTTTAGAAATCGAAACATCACATACCGCTTTACCGTATAACAGCATAAAACCATCCGGTTTGTATTTTCCTTCGCTTTTCCAAAAGTCAAATGAAGGCTCGATATTGATCCAATTAAACAAAATGGCCTACAACATAAACATTTTTACATAAAACCATATTTGAAACTAAATATTACGCAGTCTGTTGCTCTGAAAGATAATGAAAAGATGTTTAATCACTAATTATTTTTCGCTAATGATAATATTTACGTTAAAAAAGAAACAAATATATTACGGTCGTTTCCCCTCAGGCTATCTAGCGGATTTATTTGTTATCTTCGGAATATCTAATTTACGAATAAATGACTCTATTAAACCCCTTTTAGAAAACGGAATGGATGCACTTTTAGTTAATGGTTATAGATATAGGGTGATTGTTTTTAATCAGCTCCGTTTCATTTACATTTTAAACGGCTCTTAATGAATAAAACTATATCCGTGGAAGCGTACAGGCAAATGGAACGCAAAAAAAGATGATTGTGAATATTGGTGAAAGAGACAGACCGACAGACAAGAAAGAAAAGAAAAAGAAAAGCCCATGCAACAATTTATGGATATACATGAAAATAAAAAAAAATATATAAATTCAAAATAAATCTTTGTAACAAACCTAAATCAATGCTCCCAGGAAAACTATATATTTACTTTGACTGAGGACCCAAACCTAAACAAAACTTGCTTGTCGCAGGGGGTTGTTTCATCGCCATGTCCTGGGACTGCATAGCCACATGCAACCAGCCCTGGGCATGTCTCAACAGCAACATGACCTCTGGCGCTGACCTGAAGGCGACCCACGTCCCCACTGACCTCGGCGACGTAGCAGAGGGCGGGGGCGAGGCGGAGGGAGGGTCATCTGAAGGGAGTTGGATGGTGACGGCGCCCAACGCTCGCTTTTACAGACTCGAGGGATCCGATGTCCCACCGATGGACCTTGTGGATGTGAATATTACGTGAGTTGATGCTTTTTGTGTTTCGTTGTTGTGAGAGGTAGTTTTTGAATATGTATATTATTTAGTAGTAGTGTAGTAATAGTCGTAGTAATAGCAATAGTAGTCGTAGTAGTAGCAGTAGTAGTAGAAGTAGTAGTAGTAGTACAGTAGTGGTAGTAGTAGTAGTATTAGTAGTAGAAGAAGAAGTAATAGTAGTAGTAGTAGTTAGTAGTAGTAGTAGTAATAGTAGTAGTTGTTGTAGTAGTATTAGTAGTAGTAGTGTTTGATATAGTATTTATATAACTATTTCTGTGTTCCAGATTTATATGTATTGTAATACACACACCTCGACTCTAAACACACACACACCACACACACACACACACACACACACACACACCACACACACACACACACACACACACACACACACACACACACACACACACACACACACACACACACACACACACACACACACACCACAACACCCTTACACACACACACATACACACACATACACACATACACCTTACAACCACACACACCACACCAACCCCAAAACACTACCCCCCCCCTTCTCCCCTTCAACCCATTTCACCTCCTCCCTCCCAATTCCATTCCAGACTGGAGTGCGCGGGCGGGGAGTGGAAGGGAGAATCCTGCATATCCGCGTGGAGTTATGGAGAGTTCTGGTTGTATTTCCTCCTCTTGATCATCGGTCAGCTGTGCTTCAACACGGCCAACTCCATCACGGACGCCATTGCTGTTGATTCAGTGGGTGAGACCTCCGGGGAGTGAGGGTTGGGTGGGGGTAAGGGGGAGGGGGATAGGGGGGATTAAGGAGAAGGGGGTGGGATAGGGGGAGTAAGGGGGAGGAGGTGGGATGGGAATGGGAGGGGAGGGGTGGATAGGGGGAGTAAGGGGGGAAGGGGGTGGGATAGGGGGTTGTGTGGGAGGGAAAGGGTGTTAGAGTAAGGGTGAGGGTAGGGGTATGAAATGAGGGTGGGGAGAGGAGAGATTGGGGTTTTAGTAGTTTTTTTTTTTTCTTTTTTCTGTCTCTTGCCTTTCTTTATTCTTGAGATTATTGTTTTTTTTATATAGTTTTATTGGTTTTCATTTTTGTTTTGCTTAATGGATGCCTCTCTCTCTCTCTCTCTCTCTCTCTCTCTCTCTCTCTCTCTCTCTCTCTCTCTCTCTCTCTCTCTCTCTCTCTCTCTCTCTCTCTCTCTCTCTCTCTCTCTCTCTCTCGCATTCAAAACAAAAGAAAAAAATCACAACCTTGTTATTGCTACAAACCCAATTATTTAATATATATTAACACAAAATCTAGAGGGAAGAACATCAATTCAGAGAACCATTTGCAGAGATAAGAGAACAGCTTCAGTTTAACGAAACGATTGAAGCTTCGAAATTGAGGTTCGTTCGAAATCTCGACACAGTCCACGCGCCTCGTAAACATTTCCATTTCGATGAATAATTAGGTTTTTGCTCATAAAAATAAGTAATCAAATTCAGAAGAAAAAAATATATTGCAGATAGGACGTCTTGATGATCGTATATACGATGAGGTAAATATATTCGTTTGGTTTTAGAAGAAAATATACGTATATATTTTTTAGAAGTTGTTTATGCTTCTCGATAATAAAAAAAAGGAAGAAAAATAGTTTATACCCGACATATATGTGTGTGTGTGTGTGTGTGTGTGTGTGTGTGTGTGTGTGTGTGTGTATGTATGTATGTATGTATGTATGTATGTATGTATGTATGTACGTATTTTTTCTGCTATACAACAACCGCATTCGATCTATTCGGCCGAGAAGGACCACTAAAAAAAAAAAGCAAAAATATATTGGACAGTTAGGGTAAATGGCATTGTCCCATTTAGTTTAATAGCGTCATTTCTGCAATCTAGGAATAAAGTTTATGTACTATCATCAAGAGACATTTTGTTTAATCATTTATAAAGGCTGGCATGATAGCACCGACGATCGAATTTTTTAAGCCTTATTAAATAAATGCAATGTGACAGTTTGGGTTAAATCGGAGCCATTAACGTACAAAAAAAAATATAAATGGAATGTTAGCTTTTCTCTGCGTATTTAAAATGAATATATGATAAATGTTTTATATCATTACATAAATTACATTGGCTTTGATGGGGACATCAGTACTTGACCTATTTATAGGACGCAGTTCATGAAAGTTAGGAAACTTGGTAAAATATGATCTGTTCTGCAGCTCTCTCTCTCTCTCTCTCTCTCTCTCTCTCTCTCTCTCTCTCTCTCTCTCTCTCTCTCTCTCTCTCTCTCTCTCTCTCTCTCTCTCTCTCTCTCTCTCTCTCTCTCTCTCTCTCTCTCTGCAAATATGTGTATGTATATATGTGTGTGTGTGTGTGTGTATGGTACATGTAATATATGTTTATATATATATGTGTATGTATATGTTTATGTATACACATACATATGTGTGTATGTATGTATTTACATATATATTTCTGTATGTTCATTTTATTCTGAATTATATATTTTTTTATTGCAAACATTATCACGATGAACGCTGTGCATTTTTGTTTTCAAAGTAATTGTATTAAGTAATTGAATAAAAGCTGTAACAGTGTCGATTTTCTACGTCCAAATAAATTATATTTTTGTTGCCTTTTTTATTCATAAATATTTCATTTTTAACTTGTTGCCATTTTTAGGTTTTATATTCTATACACAAATATATGATTATTGTATTTCCTGTCATTATCATTTTTTTTTCTTCATTTATATCTATTTTCACATACATCCACTTTCTCTATTTCTTTCCTCATAACTTCATGCTTTCATTTCTTTCCTCAAAAAAGAATGTTTCCTTTTTCTTATCAACATAACTCTTTATATCTTTCATTTGCCTCATTTTTTCCTCATAATATCATGCTTGTGTTTTCTTCTTGTTCTTCTCTCATTCTTTCCTTTTAATCACTTTCTTTTCTCATTCTCGTTCTCTTCTCCTTCTCCTTCTTGTGTACCTTCTATCTACCTCTTTATCCATATTCTCATAATTACTCATAATAATAATTCTTGTGTTTTCTCCTAATCCTTCTCTTATTCTTTTATCCCATTTTCTCATTCTTCGTCTCGTTCTATTCTCTCCTTCTCCTTCTCATGTATTTTCTATCTACCTCTTTCTCCTCACCTCATAAATATGAGCGTTTCTCCCCCATAGATTCTTTCACCCATGTCTCTCCTCCGTCTGTCTCTTCCACCTCTTTCCATATATGCCTCCTTATAAACCTTCTCATCCTGCCATCCATTTCTCTCCTCATAACTTACCCACTCACTTCACAACCACCCCTCTTCACCTCTCTCTCTCTCTCTCTCTCTCTCTCTCTCTCTCTCTCTCTCTCTCTCTCTCTCTCTCTCTCTCTCTCTCTCTCTCTCTCTCTCTCTCCTCTTCACCTCCTCACTTCACAATCCTCACTCACCCACTTCCCCATAAACCACATTTTCACCCCCCTCCCCATTCACCCCCAACTCACCCTTCAATCCATCCCCTCCACTTCCCAATAAACCACCTTTTTCACCCCCCCTCTTCCACAACCCACCAACTCACCCACCCCACAAACCCCCTTTCCCCCCCTCCCCATTCACCCCTCCTCACCCCAACCCCCAACTCATCACAACCCCCCAACTCACCCCCTCCCCATCTCACCCCTCCTCCATCCCCCACAGGCGAAGGAGGGGCTTTCGGCGTGCAACGAGCGTGGGGAACCGTCGGATGGGGGTTAATGGGCCCCATTAGCGGCTACCTCATCGACTGGTGGTCCGGGTCCTCAGTCACGAAGGACTACACCCCAGCCTTCCTGCTCGTCTTTTTACTTGGCTCTGTTGATATCCTGTTGTCGGCTGCGACGCTTAAGGTGAGTGGGTCTTGGGTTGGGTTGGGAAGAGGAGGGGGAGGTGAGGGGTGAGGGGATTGGGTGGGTGGGGGAGGTGAGGGGGGTGGGTAGGTGGGGGGAGGTGAGTGGGTGGGTGGGAGAGGGGAGTGAGTGGGTGGGGAGGGGGGGAAGTGGGTGGAGGAAGGGGAGTGGGGGGAGAGGGAGAGAGAGGATATAAGAATCAGTGTACTTGTATACCACTTGCTCTCCTCCCCAGATTACTTTCCATTTTTTTATCACAATCTACATTTATCTACGAAATTTCATTTTTGCCAGTATCGTAAAACCTACATTTCTTCTTTTATGAAATCATAAAAGTTATGACGACATAGATTCTTGTTCAGAAATTCACCAAGAAATAAGTTTTCCTTTGTTGTGTATTCACGACTATTCGACTGTTGGAGCTCTTGTCAAACTTCTACGGAGATAAAGAAATAACTTTTGATATGCATATACATGAATGTGTGTCTGTATGTATATATATATATATATATAATATATATATATATATATATATATATATATATACCATGGATGACCTATGTATGTACGTGTGTGTGTGTGTGTGTGTGTGTGTGTGTGTGTGTGTGTGGTGTGTGTGTGTGT